ATAACATCATGGTCCTCAAGCCTAACTGGTTAGACCTATCAGATGTGCACTTTACTTTGGTCAACGAACGATAGTTACTCCAGTCATGTAGGTCGATAGTAGCCTAAAATTTAGCCAAGGTCACAGATCAGACAGAAGTAAGCTTCTCTCGCTACTTTAGTCAATAATCTGAGCAGGCACCACAGATATCGGTCCAATACTCTTCTAATGATGCCAATGCATCTGATGTATGCAACTACACAATTGTTTCTAACAGGTAGCCATTGTAAATATTTAATGGTGAAGGGCGACTCCATTGGGTTAATGAAGCCCTACATGGATACCTTGCTCGAGGGAGGACGTGCGCAGCTAGGTAAATTCAGTGGTTCCTCATTTGCTGTTCATCGGAATAACTCAATGCTCGTTAGTCCTGCAGCTCAAACTGTTTGTCACGGGGACCGCACAAACGGATGCCCAGATGCCGATGTATATTGGGCGTTTTCCATGTGATTTATAAGCATGGAGTGTGAATTGATGAGGCCTCGGCCGAGTCTCTTTTGTAGAGAATCCGGGTCTTAACCACTCCATTGAAGCAAATGATATCGAAGAAGAGGCACGATTGTGACAGACCACCTTCACCATATGTAGCCATCGGTTGAAGAACAGACCGCATAGTGGATTTTTGTCGCCGTAATATCAGATTGGTATGGGTTGAGTCAGTGTTTCTAATGTATACAGGTTGCTGACAAATGCATCATTACAGTGGGATTGGGTGAGGTAGTGAGCTGCTCGAGCTTCTGGCTAGCAAGCGATTCTAATGCATTGAACTCGTAGATTGAGTCTAGAACTAGCCCAAAATCGTCCATGTTGATGGTACAGAACTGACGGATAATGATCAAAAGAACGAATTGACGGATTCACGGACGGGGTAGCGGTTTCGACATTACTGCATATCGAGGTGACAATATTCGAAGCGCAATAGCGCTCTGAGGAACCGGGACCAATCGTTCCGATTCACCGAGTCTAGTTTCATAGCTAATCGCTGTATCTGACTGTGGTCTGCGGCGGTTCATATGTCGGTAGCTGTGTTGTTCAGTGTTATCTCACTTGTTCCTCTTAAACACAGAGTTCCGGTAAGGCAAAATTCGCCACCAATCAATCCATCTAGACTTGAATCAAGCAAACGTTGCTATTACTACCACCCATGTACGAAAGGCCCTACCATGCCAAAAATGTGATCGAGTGATGATCATTTTGTAACTCTATGCTCTCAACTCCTAGCTCAGCAGATATCAGTTACAGGCTATACCTCTATTGTACGAATAACGCGAGTAGCACATATACTGTGAGAGAGTAACGAGTCGTAAGTAAAAGCACACAAAAGCCAATTATGTGCTCCGGGTAGATGAAGTTATGTGCAAGTCGATGTGGGTAAATGTAAGACCTAATATAATCACCGTCTTACACCAAACATTGGTTTACTCTCAGTTCTGCTCAGTCAGGGAGTGTACGATTAAACGGCAACGTTGCTTATGATCACCAAATAAGATGAACAGTGTGCTCTGTACCCCGCCAATCGGCAAGGAGGGGTTGTTGAATACCTACTTTCGCTTTGGTTGACACGCTGGTAAACATTTATCAACTCAGACTGTTTCCCAGCGTGCTTTTCAGATCAGCATTGCATGAGTTAGTGTAGTTGGCCTTCTGGTCTGGCAACAACTCACCACAAAGGCACCTATGATGGTGGTCTTGGAAGCGGGTAGGAGAAAATGCCTACACTTGACCTGAGAAAAGTAAAATGAAAATCAGTTTGAAACATCGCTGAGTATCGTCCTCCATAGCCCATGAGGATAGTGCGTATGCAGAATACATTTCCTTTCTGGTTTAGTGGTTAGGTAGGTCTAGCAAGCAAACATTCCTGGGGTGAAGGATGGTAACCATTGAAAGATCATGCAGTAAATGCCAGAACCGTTGACGTCTAAACGTTTCGCGCATCTTATGTGTCGTTGTGTCCGAGCATGCTTTTATGCATAATCCAGTAGGAGGGATTTCGTAGGTTAGCTACTTGAGGGGAATTGCAGAAAATTCAAAGCTAGTGGCCCCTCAAACTTGGACTTCTGGGCTTGCAACATGTGCAACACACTGCGTAATTTGTTGGCGTCAAACGCAGATTACAAACGGCTAAAATCAAAAACCACAAGCCACACAACACCGGCAACCTCGTACACTTTTTTCCTATACGCTGGTACATATACGATGGCTTGAGTCACTGGTAACTCAGGTCGATTGTTAGAACGTTCGTATGCTCAACGAAGGGGGTTCCAAACGTTTCATTACCAAATTATGTGACAAAAACAATGCGCCCGCAGTACATACGCCTTGACGACATCACCTTGTTTGGTGCTGAAACTTCTGCAATTCAGGTGATCTTGTGAGCCACCCACAGTTGCGCAAAAAATGACTAAAACACGTGTTCGTAATGTTGCATGACCCAGTGCGCAGTTGCTTTTGCGCCACAACGAACCATCTGAGGAAATGTGCCCCTTAGCCATGTACGCGACCCAGTTGCTTTGTAACAACCCAATTTATGACTAGCGAACCCACCAGGACGGCGCGGCCCGGGCCATAATGGAACGTGCTGGACTGCTAAAGTGGTACCACGATATGGTTTGACGTTTGCGTGTTCGGTTGGGTGGATTGGTAGCCAGTCCGTGTCACCAGGACGACATGAGTGTGAAGCATTAGGTGCCGCGTAAGATTAGAATCAAAGAAATTTCGCCTTGAGTGCTTCAAGTGCCATACATAAATGCTTCCGAGAGACTTCCGTTAGCCGATTATAAAACAGTATTTCTAGGTAGAATGATCTGCAACCACGAGAAACCGAGGAGGATGGGCTCAATGCTACCTTCACCAGGACAAACGCTCTGTGTGAAGTGACCCGGTTGGCGAAGCTAATTAGTATAGCACTCGAGCGTGTGGAATTTTGTACACATTGAAGAAAGTGCAGTACGATGACAGATATTACCATGAAAGCATGGCTATTATAGAGGCATATTTGCGATGGACCATACTGAAAGGTAGCAGACAGCCAATCGATATTCAGAACCAGCACTGATGCAAGTACCACGTATGTTCTCAACGAGGTCAGACACGGCTTAACGAAACTGCCTCCTGAGTACAAATTGCCTTGAGACCAGTTATCCCGATGGTCTAATCGATTTTTAATCCTAAAGCTTAGTTTCACCATAACAATTGTAGATTAGAACAGCACGACATAATCCTAAGCTGTGTTTGCATTTGAAGACAGGCTACATAATAAGAGCATATCCAGGAAGCACAGGGCCAAAAGTATGTATGGCTTAGCTTCTACATCGTTGAAAAATAGTATCAGAATGCATCGACGTCTGATATGTGCAAGTATGGTCTGAATGGTGGGAAGGGTGTCGGTATTTGTGTGATGAAAATATCCCATCAACAAACCGCGTGGTCAACAGCGTATTTGAATAACCTGTTTTGTGTTGGAAGGCCTATTTTCAGCAAAGTAATCGAATCTCAGTTTCGCGCTTAGCGGCCTTTCCTGGGTACCCATCCGCAGGTACAAGATGATGGAGGCAATAGTGATAAACGTACAATATCTGGTAATATGATAGATAACAATAAGTGGGACCAAACTTGAACCAAACCACTGACTTGATGATGACTTATCATATTAATCTGCAAGTGCGACCTACTCTCCATGTGAATATAATACAGTCTAGACTATGAAATACTTTTTTCAAGAAAAAGCTAGACACTGACAGGACGATAACCAATGTGCAAAGTGCACCGTGTATATCGTATGAGCTAAAAAGTATGATCTGCAGTGCGTCCTTTGCCACTTTTCCAGCCAATTTCTCGCCGGAGCGCATTTGGGATATATAATTTTATGACAGTAATCTATTTCGTACTTTCTTCCGAATAAAAATCACTCAAGAAAGTGGAATATAGTCGTTCGCCAATACATGCATTTGGTTTTTGGGTTTAGAAATCTTTCAGATTGCTTACCATTCCGCCACCACATATCCGACTAGTAACGTAAGCCTACCTTCGGTACAGCTATTTGTCCGAAACTGACAACACAGCGGGCCCGGAGTTGGTATGATATAGACTGTTAGAAAAGGTGTAAACCACGGGAGGATAAAGCGTTCGCGGAAACCTATATTAGAGACTTCCCTTCTAACGAAGGTATGTAGCTGGTCTGCAGGACATTTTAACTTGCCCCTGCTTTTCCTCTGTAGTGTTCTCGGAGTGAATGTAACGGTTAGAATCGCTAGTTGCAAAATACCAGTGACATTGGATTGAAGTGGTAGCGCCGACAACAGTGAATTACATTCGTTCGGTCGAAACATCATAAACACCAGGGGTCAGTGGGATTACATTTAGCACATGATAAGATTTGATTGTCACAGAAAGCATAATAAGTTGGTCACCATTCGAAACGGTACGGTCGACGTAGTGAACATAATGGAGCTGCACACAGAACGGTTGGGAGCAATTAAAATTGTTCGCTAAGTGAGATTGTACAGATTACCCACTTTGTCAAATAGTGAGCAATAGGACTGCATTTCAGACTTTAAACGTATTATTTAAAGTTTGCAGAGAAAACAACAAACTGATATATTATTACATAGTAAGCTTTAAGTGGTGGCATTTACTTTCAATAAACGCTCATTGAAATGGGATCAAAATTTAGATATCCTCTCCTCTATGCTTTCGAATGGGTTTGCAGTAGTCTAAGGAAACGGGCGTAACGCAGAGTCACTTGCAACTGTTTTATGACATAGTCAGCATGGCAGAATGTAACAAACCATAGTTTAACACTACATCAGCAGCATTACCCGAGACAGGATTGGGGACAATTAATCTCAGGATTCAGTGGTGAGAAGCATATTCTAACAGATTGAAACGCAACATTAAATAACATTGTCCAATACACTAGTAAATCAATCGAACACGACCTTCGCTAATTAACTAAATCTTACCGCGAAAAGTTCCCTTAATCACGCGGTCTCCTTTGCCCGTCAATCCATCCAAGTATTTGATCCGCACCTCTACCGACATGGCCTGTGTCTCGCTGGGCTCAGTGTGGTTCGGCAGAAGACAACGACAGCGGGTAAGTTACTTTGGCGCTTAACAGGACGCCCTTCTTTAAAATATGCTGTCAGCAAAAGTTGCAATTCGTAATGCAGGCACACACGCAGTTGAGTGGCTTCGTAGAGATACGCGCACAATGGTATGGTGCCGCTTACTTCTGCAATGCCACCCACGCTCCTGTGCGCTGCGCACTCATTGTTAGGCTCAACGATGTAGCACCAGCGCTCCGCTTTTGGTACAATCTTCTTTTCTTGTCTGGTACAGGCACGATTCCGCAGACATCAAAACAGTGAATTATGTACGGCCACCGGTAGATCAACTGACATTCGTCTCCTTCGACTGCAGAACACGAGCAGAAGTGCGAATTGGTCAGAAAAGTTTGATTTATTTCATTTTCACGGAGCTAGAATTGAAACTTGGGCTGATAAAATTTAGTCATACGAGCTCAGAAGGCGCAGCCGAATTTGTACATTATGGCACCGAACATGCACCACATAGATTTCAGTTGTCATTAAACGATTCCACTCATCCCCGAACGTCTTCCTGGAGGTCGCGCAGCGCGCTCTCCTCCAAAGCTTTTTCAAGCTGTGCTTCTGTATTTCTTCCTAGAGCACATTCAGTTGTGGTCTCCAAGCGCTCTCATTGTGTTCAGACGTCAATTTGCTCCGTTGCTGGCTCCACACCAGCTAGACAAGTGATTACCGCATCAACTTCTCCGGATGAGTGCAACTAATAGTGAGAGGACAAGTCGGACGCAGTTAATTCTACAAAGCCGTGAGGGTCATTGGTCCTAGTTTTGGACACACAACACAAGTCAAGACCCAGCATGTCCAACATGTGCCCGAGTGCAACCTGTTGACCCATGTGTCTCAGAGCGCGAACGTTGAACGCCGCCATGGAAACGGAACAGGGTGGTCTTATAAGGGACTGTTGCAGATGGGTGTCCAGGGGTGATGTGGGAAGGTACCTGCAGATGGTTGATTCCAGTGGCACTTCGGTTGCTGTCAATTAGGCTGGGAATTGTGCACGGAAAGTTTGTAATGGGAGTTAGGAGGGGAGTAAGAGAGTCAGGTATCGCACATCCCGCCGGTACATCAACCGTGTTTGTGACGGATTCTGCGCATCGGTTGGTGCGACAGAGTTGCGGACACGGAAGTGTTGCGCCAAACTGGAATGTACGCAGTGGACTGCGTACCTTTGCTGAGAAACCTGAGGTAGCTCGGTCATGTGAGCCGTATGGATTCGACGCGGATACCGAAACAACAATTGTATGGTCAGCTGGGTAATGGAAAGCGGCATGTGGGGAAACCAACATTACGTTACCAGGACATGATCAAAGTGAACCCCTCACGTTCTAATCTTGGTTGCAGGACAGGTGAATCGAAGGCGGTTGATCGGCGTACATGGTACGATCTGATCACGTAGGCAGTTGCCGTGGTGCAGTAGAAGGACCTCATGCATGCATTGAAGAAGCGGCAAGTGCGGAAGCGGCAAGCGCCGATTGATTGTACTCCATCAACATCGAGCGCACGGTGCTGTAGCACATGCGGTTGCGAATGCCTCAGTCAGGCAGGCCTAGTGAGTCATGAGCGAGGCCACTCGGGGCCACCACCGAAGCGACGACGGGTCATGCATAGGACGTAGGCAGAACCGGCACAGCGTTTGTAGGTAGGCTGCATTCGATTTACCAACCGCGTGCTTGCACGTGGAGTTTCATTTTTTCAGGTTGTGGGTCTGCTATATTGTACTAATGATTTTGTATCTCATCTTAATGTCCACCTGAAGTATCTTGTATAATCTTGCACACGTCGCTTAAGCTAATCGTAGTTAACTTCGGTAATATTTTCGCGTGTGTGGCATTTGCTTAAAATATATTTTCTGACGTTTTGAACTTATCATGGATGTGTTCGTAAGCAATCTATTTTATACGCTCATTTAGTGAAGAGTTATATCACCGAATCTGTAAGTATTATTCGATTTCTTTTATTTGGTATTGTCGTTTCAAGTGACTGGTTGTTGTTTGACATCCCCGGTGTGGCTGCGCTTGATGGCGGATGCCGCCAACCAAGAGAGTCAGGTGAAAAAGAAAGTAGAGAGGCGCCAGCAGTGGCATATTTTCGCTTATACGCCATTCTGCATGCAGCAGATAGGGCAACACTTGATAATCTGCGCGAACGCCGAGGGAGGGTTTGGTTGCAGTTTGAAGAAATAGTCGTGGTTGCAAGTTGGCTGAGGTATTACCAGGCCGCCCAGGCCTAAACAGGAGGGCAATTAGAGTCCTAAACCAAATCTTTGACTCAAAAGCCTGTTCACAAGACAGCGGAGAGTGGGCTATGATATAGCTTCACATATATGGATGCGATCCCATTTCAGAATCCCAACCTGAAGGACCAGGAGACCGAGCTTTTCTGACTTCTAACCATTGGTCAACCTGGTAGAAGTAACTCTCAATGCGCTCTGGAACACCATCCAGTATAACTCAGTGGATCAACGCGACACGTAAACCGTCGCAGTGCGTTAAGTTCCAGCCTCTTTGCGACGGAAAGTCTGCACAGTTGAACTCACAATTAAGAAGATCACTGGTCAAGTCTATCCCTCATGCTCCTCTACTTACGCAGGGCCTGATGGAATCCCGCTGTTTGATAATGAGCGGTGGTAGTAACTAGCCTCTGTTTTTACTCAACATATAGATACCATCTGTTAACAATGGAGTATATTCTACCCAAAGGAATATTTATGTCCTTATCCCGCGACACATCAATGGAGCCGCTTACAAGTTTACAATCTTTCGTCCCATCAAGCACATACACATGCATCCAGAATAGTGAAAAGAATGGTGCAACATGATCTACTCAACTACTTGAACAACGCCAACATCATCAGCAATGCGCAGCACGGTTTTAGGCAATATTGATCCTTCACAACATGCCAGACAGACTACTTAGACCACACAACGGCCGCCATATACAACGGAAACAGTGTTATAATATTGCTCATGGATATACAAATAGCCTATTATAGATTACCTCATCGGAGGTTACTCAATACATTGAGGGCAATGGGAAGTGGAGAACTGCAGTTTTCTTGGCTCTATTTATATCTAATTGGTAGGCAGCAGGTGGTGTGCATCGGTGTCCATTTCTCTAAACTGAAAGCAGTCACTAGTGGAGTAATTCTAGGAAGTGTTCTTGGTCCTCTTCTTTTTCTCATATATCTTAACGATGTATTCTGGAGAATAAGGCATACTGCTACTTTTCTGTTTGCTGATGAAATCAAAATTTTTGTACTCACAAGATGATTTTAATACCAAGGTCTCCGTAAGACCCGTTCAGGATGGCCTATCTACATTTGACTCCTGGTGCCAACCGTGGCAGATGTCATTTACCGTGGACAAGTATACTATTCTGTCGTACAAATGCCAAGTACCGCCAGACATGCTATTACTGCGAGGCACAGACATCTCGTGATGCAGGGCAGTTCACGACTTAGGCGTGTGATATTCTGTTACCTTAAATTTTCCTGAAGATTGTAACTGTCAGGTAGAGAAGGCTATGGAGAGCATCAGACACATGCGATCATTTTTATCCCACTAAACCTCGCATCTGGTTTTACAAAGCATACGTATTGCTTTGTATGGAATCATCATCATCATACACGTTAGCTAGAGGTGGGGAACACCTCAGCTATTGTGCTATTGTATGGAATACTGCTCATTGATCTAATCGAAGCTGCAAAATTTGATCAACATGCTCTTGGGAGGGTCCAGCGACGATTCCTGAAAAAGCTGTGCAGTTATTTCTCAAAGATGACACAGCGGGCGTCGCGATAAGCTTGGATTTGACCCAGTCTAGCTTCGGAGAATGAGGTTGAACCTGTTGTCTCTACAGGATCATAAGCCAATAAGTGAAAAGTCCTGATGACTGCGTTCACATGTCTTTAAACACTAGATACCAGATGTCCCTTGTGTTCTATGACTGGTACCAGATTGGTCGTATTCCCTCGGTCCACTGATCCTCGGCTGGTACGCGGACGGTCTGTCGTTAATGGCGATTTTGCGTCGTCAGTGCTTACCCATCGTTTAGCTGAGCAACCTGTGCTTCCGGCTTTTCGATACACGTAACGTGCTATTGACATGTTTGCCAGGCTACAGGGTGGGTTTTCTTTTACGTGATTAGTCACCGTGCAATCGCGTGAGGTTTCCTCGCTCGGGTGAATCTGCTGCGTTCCATGATCCGCGGTTAGACTGTCGGGCCGACCAGGCTCAGCCGTTTGCGCAAACCTCACTACATCCTTTCCTTTTGTTTCCTTAGGATTGTGTTACAATAATTTGCATACTCTTTTTCGCTGCATGTGAGCTTTCTTCCCTGTGTCGGGGTGACACCTATCCTTTCCGGCTGCTGCTGCCCATCATCGAGTTTTGAAAACCACCCGCTACGTGCTCACCGGAGTTATACTTGGTTCCGACTAATAATGCTGCGCCATCTCACGACTTCGTAACTCCTCTCTCCTTTTATTTATTCTACGCATTGTTTCCATTCAGAGTTGGTGTTGTTTCTTTCAGCCACTCTCGTTGTTTTCCTTGATGTGAGTCTGACGCCGCTATTTTTAACAAGTACCCGAGTGTGTTTACGGAGGGTTAGGGATATCCAACGGTTACGCTCACTTGTCATTACACGAGTTCTCTAAATCAGTAGCGTTACCGGCTAGGAAGGTACCTATTGCTTTGCGCACAAAATTCTTGCGCGAGCTACAAGGACTTTGCAGTCTGGGGGTAGTAGCTATTGTTGTTGAGCCGATCGATTGTGTCAGCCAGGTAGCGGTTGCCCCTAATACGTCTGGCGAGCTACGCATGTGTGTTCATTCCAGACCGCTTAAAGCCGCACTCAAGAAGAAATATTATAAGCAGCCGAGGCTAGACGACATGCTGTCGGTATTATGTAAGGCTAAGCTGTTCACAAAGTTCGACCTCACCTCACCAACATCGCTCCTTAGAACAGTGCAGCGAAAAAGAGTATGCAAGTTATTGTAACACAATCCTAAGGAAACAAAAGGAAAGGATGTAGTGAGGTTTGCGCAA